GTCTTTCTGCTTCACTGGCAAATTGATGGGAATGTCTCATGTTCTGCGGTTTCTGAAAGAACAGTCTCTAATGCAGTGATGGTAATTCCCATGGTGGTTTTGGCTTTGAAGCTCCTCTTGAGTGCCTGTTTTCCTGTTGTGTTGGGTCTGGCATGACTGTTCACTTTCAGCAGGTGTGCCCTGGCTAGTCCTTTTTTGTTCCCTATTGTGTACTGCCTTGGTGGCAGTTGCAGTTCAGATTTTTGTCTTGGCGTCTTTAATTCAGCATACATTTTCTTAGGTGGTGAGGGGTAGTCTGGCAGACAGCACTTGGCTGATGTGGGCTTATTCTTAACTGTCTGCACAGAATACCTGAGAAAAGAAACAAAACCACACCTCTTTCCCAGTGTACTTTTGTTCACAACACTATAAGCCAAAGTTTCAGCATTGTGGGAGATAATTGTTTTCTAATAGAAGGTTTATACCTCCTGTTTGTAGCAAAGCCTGATGGCTATTTGTCTTAATACATACTCTGCTTAGATAAAGGTCTGAAAAGCCACACATATTTTGAGTAGAGAGTACATATTTCTGGGTACATGACTATATGCATTACTTGTGCTTCCTCTGCCTTTCACACCGCGAGATGGGAGAGTGCTAAATGCTCTGTGAACAGGGAGTGTGAGAGCTTGACTGTCTGAACAGGGATAAAACGTCTTACCAAAAATAAACCCCTGTTGGTCTGCATTTGTCCTGAATCTTAATACCCCACCCCGGGGCGTGCTACACACAATAGTGTTGCCTTGCCAAGTGTCTGTCTTTATCCTTCCCCCTTTTCTTTGCAGGTGGCAGGCCTAACCCTGTTGGCAGTGGGTGTTTACTCTGCTAAGAATGCCACGGCAGTAGCGGGGCGATACATAGAAGCACGTTTGGGCAAACCTTCCCTGGTGAGAGAAACCTCCCGCATTACTGTGCTGGAGGCGCTGAAGCATCCTATCAAGGTAAATTTTAGCGTTGTTCTTGTGTTGCGCTCAGCCGTGGGGATGCAAAACTCCTTTTGCAGCTCTTGTGTCAGGCAGGGATTCATCCATGGGTCTGTGAATAAATGTACTGTAAAGAGATAGCATAGCTGCGCTGAGCTCGTTGCCATCTTATATGACGTTTTTGTCCATGTGAGTTGTCAAAACTGTGGTTAATTTCTACATGTCTGTTACTGAATTTGTCCCCTCTAGGTTGGTAAGCGTCTTACCAGCAAGGCTCAGGATGCCCTTGAAGGAGTTGTTCTCAGTGTGAGTACTCTATTTTGCTCCCTAGGTCTGTTAAGGATGACTTTAGAATCTAAACAAGAAAGGCTGTTTCCTTACACTCACTTCAAAAGCTGTAATTCCAGTAATCCTGGAGACATAGCACCCTTGGGGCACTAAGACTGTAAATAAGCTCCTGTGTTCAGTGCGACATGCGTTAAGCACTCTGTTAACCTTTTTTCCTCTGTGCAAAGCAGTTGGAAGTCTTAGTTTAGTCCCTGCCCTGCTGCACTTTTTCTCTGTAGTCAGCATGTATATATACAAAGTTCCATTTGTCTCATCTAATCTGTTAAGGATTACTGAACCTAGAACTGTGTGTAGGCCAAAAAGTTGAAGGAGTGTATGCATTTAGAATCATAGATTGTCCGTCTTGTGAATGGTCCTTAACTTGCTAATTAGGATTGCTTCTGTATATTTGCTTCTGAGTTTGATTCCTGGATATCAGGCAAATTTAAGTGCTTCTTGAGGCTGCTGAGAGAAAATGCAGCTGCAGGAATAGCTTTCTCTCAGTATATCTACAAATGAAGTAGTAAGTATGAACTTGAATGTTTGACTTATATGAAAGAGTTAATACTGCAAAGAGTTGCTTATGTTTTGACGTATCCCTCCCAGGGCATCCAGTAGGAAGTGAGTATTTAGGTGTTATCAGTTCTTATAGTAGTTACTACACTGCTTCCTGCACTGCTGCCTTTTCTTACAAAAGAATTGTAGCCAAGTGGACAGAACTTTACACTAAATCATGACATAGAAGTGGAAATGACCCTGGTCTGAAGCAATAAGTAGCTGAAGTTAAAGCTTAAAAGGTTGAGGCTGTAGGATTGCTGCCTGCTTGCTGGTACTGATCTGTGAAGATGATAGGTCCACGTCTCTTGGTACTTTCTGTTCCTTAAGTTTAACCTTTTTCTTGCAGCCACAGTTAGAAGCACGTGTGAGAGACATTGCCATAGCAACAAGAAATACGAAAAAAAACAAAAGCCTATACAGGAATATTCTGATGTATGGTCCCCCTGGCACTGGAAAGACGCTCTTTGCCAAGGTAAAACCCTGCCAAGATTCTGACAGCCTGCACGTTGCAGGGTGCTCTGAAAACTTCAGGGTCTAAGCACCCTCTCTAGTTTGAAATGTATTGCTGTGGTATTGCATAAACTTTGTGGTTTTGTGTCCCTGAGAAGGGAGGAAAGGGCATCCAGCCTGCTTCAACTCTCGTACAGTCACTTGGATTCTAGTGCTAAGCGTAGGCAGAAGAGCACTTCCATCTGGAACAGGCACTTGGCAACTATGACTTGTGAAATCGCAACACCAGCCTGCTGTCTCGTTTCCACCTCTGTTAATTTTATGCACTTGCCTAAATAGGATCTGCTGTCACGTACTAATCCTAGAGCAGAGAAGAGATAGGTATGGCTTTACTGTGCGTATGCACTGCCAGGATGGTTTTTGCAGTGATTTGAGTCAGGATTTGATTTTTAACTTGCTCTTCAGTGCTTATTCACTAGATGTGAGGTTTCATATACTTATTTAACAGTGGTGGATTTGATGTGCTGATGCAAGCTGAATTTCTTTTCTTTATCAATACATTAAACCCATATCCCAATAGGTTTTTGCTGCCTGCTCTGACAGTATGTCACCTAGTTTGGATTTCTAAAGCCAGTAGAGAGGGATGGGTGTAGGATATGGCAACAGCAGCATAAGGAAAAGAAGGGAGAAGTATAAAAGCTGAGAGAAGTGATTGGCAGTGGAAGAAGAAGTTTAACAGTCCAGAAGTTCTCTTAACACTTTTCCCCAATAGCATAGGAAGTCCAAAGGGATGTGGTGGTAGCGGTAAAAGATTGGAACAGGTCAGAAGGAAGATGGAGGTAAAGGTGAGGAAAGGGCTGAGCACATCAGACCTGTGTGCTCTGGAGAGGAGAGTATACTGCGCTGGGAAGCTGACTGTTTCCTGAGCTGTGACTTTTGCGCTTGGGTTAATGTCAGTGACAATACAGATGGTTATTATTGCTGTTCCAAAAAAGCAATGTGTCATAGTGTGGTGGCATTCTCTGAGTCCTGCAGGGCAAAGACATGTCTGTGGTGGTATGTAGTAACGCTGTACGACAGGGTTCTTAAGGCAGATGTAAACCCACTTAGATGCAACTATCAAAGTTTCCAGCTTGGGACTGATACAAAGCACTAAACGTTAGTAGCAGGAACTGGGTGGTTTTAATAGGCAGAAGAAAGCTTTTTTCCAGCCTCCTGCTGCACAGCAGATAATTGGTTGGATTCAGCTAAGCATGTTTCAGCAGGGCTGTTGCTGATCTACTTGGGTTGACTTGTTCATTTTAACCTTCAGATGACTTTCCTTTGCTCAGCAGAACTGGATAGCCGGGTCTGGGTCAGCAAACGGTGGGTTAGCTCAGCCTGCTGTCTGTCACCAGGGCAGGGCTCAGTTGGTGGCTGCTTTGTAAACTCCTTCTGAAATTGAGGGGAGAGAGAGATACCTTCCCATTTATTGGCTTAAAATCCTACTGAAGTCTGTTTTTTCAGATGCAGGCGTTTGTGGGCTAATTCACCACTGAGGTGTTGCAGTGAGATGGAGAGCAGGTTAAAGCTGGGATCTTAATTGCAATATGGGACAGCTCGTGGTAGACCTGGTTGGGCTGAAGTAGAGGGAGGCTTTGCCAAGGCTAGAATTCTGCCCTGCAGTGATGTGACAGCCTAAGCAAACTTTGATCAGTGCAAACCATAGGCTCTTCTGATGTGCTTGGTTAACCTTGGCTACATCCTGTCAAACTTACTTTAAGGGTAGACTTGCATTTTCTGTCCTAGCAAAAAAACTATAGAGGTTTTTTTTTTTTTCACCTGCAGGCTTCGGGGAGATATTTCCAGCTTGCCCCAGGAGCTTCATCAAACCCCTTTGTTTAGTAGCCACCAGACCAATGAGTTGTGGCAGCCTTTAAAACACAAAGGGAAAATTGTGTTATTTTGTCTGAATACTCGCTGGGTTCACTGACCACTTAATTCCAGGCTTTTAAATTGTTTAAAATGAATAAAATTGAGTTGTATTAGTTAAGCATCTAGTAGAGAATAGAATCCTTTTCTGCTGCACAGAGGAAGTTATAAACTAAACCATGAAGAAAGCAGTGGAAGAAATAACAAGACGCAAGTTAAGGATGAAAATCTAAGCACTCTCAGCAGTGCCTTCTAGCATTCAAATGCTGTGCATTGCATAAGACTAATCTTCCATCTTTCATTCCCTTTCAGAGCAATGCTAAAAGCTGCCCCTAAGTGTTCTAAGAAGTATTCTCTAAGAGCATACTTACCCTCTACAAATAAGCATGCCGATAGGACTAAACTACTTTGATTTCCCTCCTCATCTTCTGTGGATTTGCAGTGAAAGAGTGCTTAACTCGCGGTTTTTGTTCCCTTCCAGAAATTAGCTGTGCACTCAGGCATGGATTATGCCATCATGACTGGTGGCGATGTTGCCCCCATGGGGCGGGAAGGAGTTACTGCCATGCATAAACTCTTCGACTGGGCAAACACCAGTAGGAGAGGGTAAGTAAGGGTTCCTCCAAGTCCTGAATTTGGTTTCTTGCTCAAAGACACTCACTGCAACGATGTAGTTCAGACCCCTAATCCCTGTTATTAAATTATACTCTTGCATGGATGAGGTAACACTGAACGGGGGTAACATCTCCTAAACTTTTCCTGGAATGGGTGAATTCTTGCTGCTTAGTAATATTTAAAAGGCTGAAAGCTTTTTCTCTTCTGTTGCCTCAAACCCTTCTTGTTTACTTGAGATTTTTCCAGATCAGTCATAGCTTGATCTGCTGATCTCACCAGGCAGGTGGAGAGACTTTGCCCACTCCAGGGCTGGGACACGTCTTTCAGAGTGACTAGTTTTCTGACAGTAGTTAGAAGACTTAGCACAGACGGAGGTGTAACCGGGTGTTTACAGTCTCAGGATATTATGTTCCCTGTTGCAATTGCAGTTCTAGACTTGGATAGTGGTTGGATCCAGCTTCTTGTTTACTTTTGAGTCTCAAGCAGAAGTAACAAATGATAAGAAATAAAAGAGAATAAGAGGGAGACGAATGCCAAAGGCATTGATGTTAGACAGGTGTAAAAGTCGCAGACTGCTGTGCTTTTTCAGTCACCTCTAAAAGCAGGCTTTTATCTGCCAAAAAGCATTCATATTGAGGCTAAATCTTGACTCTCTGATTTTGTAAGAGTATGTAGTTAATTTGTTCATACTAGTGTAAATGGATTTTTTTGCAGTCCAGAAGTAGTTGCTTGTCCAGCCAGGATATTAAAATTCAATAGGGAGCTTGCAGTGAGTGTCAGTTTGGGGTTTTGTGCTGTTTTGATTGCAGGTCTTCTGTAAATGTGGCTAACCAGTGATTTACGTGTTCTCTGATTGCTTTAGATGGACATTATCTTGCAGTGTCTGTTTTAATCCTTGTTGCGTTCATCATTTAAATGTTTGTTTCCCCTTTAAAAAAACAAAACAAAAACTTGCAGAGTAAATGTCCTAGAGATTTAAACTCTTTAAGCTTCTGCTACACTGAGGAGCTATCGAAGGAAAGGGGTAAGAATTTAGGTGAGCGTAGAAAAAGAGGTTGGAAGAGATAAGAGGGTACTCAACTGTGGATGAATACTGCTGGATGCTTCCACTGAAGAATGCTCTTTCACAGGGTCTGAGTTTATTCTCTGTCCTGATTAAAAAAAACTCTGTGCGTTTGAACTTCATACACTTCAGCCATCTTATGAACGTTGTGATGAAAGGTTACACGTGTCCATGTATATCGATGTTCTAAACTCCAGTAACATTCCAGTATTTAAGCAGATTTTATTCTGGATAGCCAACAATGTTAGCTGGTAGTACTGTGTTGCCTTTATTAGCTGCAAGTTGTGATAGAAGACGCCTCTCTGCAGAGACTGTAGCCGAGAATATTTTCAGAAAAACTGGAGTTGAGTGAAAAATGTTAATAGGCCCTGAAATCCCTTGAAAGAAAGCTGGTTTTGAAGCTAGGCAAGAAGGTAATACAAGCTGTGACAGCTTTATGAGCAGCTTGGTTCTGTTATTGATAAACATCTTTATACGCTTTGTCTCTTGGGAAGAGCACTACCCTTGGGTTATAAGTGAATTTATTTTTGTGAATTATTCATTGACTTTATTAATTCACTTCTCTACAGGTTGTAAAACCACTATATTATTGCTAGTGTGGTTTGGAAAGGAAAAACCCAACAAAATAACAAAGCAAATTGCAGGGGAGGACACTAGTTTCAGGTTTTCAGAATGGTATAAGGAGGAAAAATGGCAGGAAGATGCCACTGTCACCAAGATTTCTCATGTGCTTGTGTACCTGTCCTGCGCATGTTTCTCTAAATAGGAGAGAATGCTAAAATAAGCACTCTCACAAATACTTGGGGAGCCAGGTCTAAATTTCAAAGATCTATTCCAACTTGGCAGTAACATACCAGCACTGCTAGATGCAAGCCTATTGCCAAACCATGCCCATGAAAAACTCCCATCTGTATTTAAGAATCTGGAGGAGGTTAAGGTCGTGTGCCCTAGAATTGCTTCTGTTCAGTTTGCTTCTGAACAGCAGGAAACAAAACTCCAGAGGCCTGGAGTCAGATTCATGGCCTAAGCTAATGCCTCTTCATTCACTGTGGTCATGGGCCAAGTGTACGCAATGGAAATGTTGCCTCAAGAACTGAATTTGCTTGTGTGCTCGTTCGGGCTTACAGCTGGTCACCGTTACGGGTGCCTGGTAGTGGGACAAGAGAGTCCTTAAGCCATTTGAGCCTCACTTACCTGTCTCCTGTTACTGTGTAGTGCTTTCCTTTTACAGCCTCTTGCTATTTGTGGATGAAGCGGATGCATTTCTGCGGAAGAGGGCAACAGTAAGTACTTTCTGTGTCTGTTATCTGTGTATGCTGCAGAATTAGTCAGCCAACAGCTGCCTTGTTTAACCTGATTAGCCAGCTTCCACGGGCGAAAGATTAAAACTGGCAGGTGCCTTACCACTCACCTAATTAAGTGATGCAGAGACAAGAAATTAGTGTCTTGCAGCTGCATGGAATGAGCATCTCGAGACAGACTTGAGAATTCCTCCCTACAAAAGATGGGTGACATCATCTTTTTGGAGGTTTTGCAGGTGACTGGGCAGTAGGGAAGGAAGAGGCATGTCTTGAAAACAGGAGAAGATTGTTCACGCTGCGGAGCTGGTAGCCTGCAGGGTTTGGATTTTGTCCCAACAGATATTTATCTTGGGAGGTTTTCGTAACAGAACTGCTTTTCACTACATTAACAGAACTACACTAGCATCTTCCCCTGTACAAATGATTTATGTTTTCAAAGTAAGTCACCATATTGTACATTGAACCCGGACCTGCTACTTGAACCCCAGCGGTCTATTTAAAGAGCTGTCCCGAGGACATTACTTTGAATGTGTAAGCAAATTCTTTGTTGTGGCGTATTTTCCTCTAAGTATCTTATTGGACTTCCCAGCTAAAATA